AAGAATCGATTAGTCATCCTGTTTCATTTGCATGAATGGGACATTGTATCGCGGCTGCGCGCATCCAAAAAATCGCAATAATCTTTGTCCTTTGTGACTATTGATATGAAACAAAGTCTCAATTTTCAAATTACGTCCATTTTCTTTAGAGATTCAAAAACATAAATAACGTTTTGGCGCTCACTAGTTCACTTTTCTCACTAGTGTATTGCAGTTTGGCTGGTGGTTATGTTGCCTGCCCGCATACCGCCTCCCATGGCCGAAACTGGTATTACGACACCTGCCGGGCCGGGGCTAGTCATTTAGCATGCTAATATCTCGGCAGCACTATAACTTGTCATTTTTTTAATGACATCATCAACCTTTTTTCTTCTCATTCTTTTGATGCGTGTAGCTCATTTTTGGGATATTTGAACCTCAATTTTTACAGATGGCACCTTTAACTTTCATATTTAAAACTTTGCAGGATGTTTTCGTTCACTTAGATCTATGTTACACACTACATGAAAGGTCATTTTCAAAATTCCATAATAGGTGCCCTTTACTTTAACATCAACACATCATTACTGAAGCTAAAATGAACTAAATGAATGACTTGTTGCTTGCCGGTCACTCATGCGTCTCCCTGTTCTCCACAGGGACAGCACCGAGGATCTCATGGATCTGTCTGAAGAGGAGCGCAACGAACTGATGAAGAAGGAGAGCAGTCGCCTGCTGAAGACGGGCCACCGGGTCAGCTACTCCCCCCGTAAAGAGAAGGCCCTCAAAATATACCTGGACGGAGGGCCCACCAAAGACCCAGGACAGGACTGAGAGGGGGGGGCGGACGGACGGACTATCCTTCCCTGTTCTCGATCCGACCTGCCCGCTGCAGTGTAGCGCTGCCTCGCCAGCCACCCTGGCATTTGGGCCACACGTTGAATCAACGTCACCAGTGCTGTCCGGCTGACGCTCTCTTCTTCGAGCTCCAGAACGCACTATTGTGCACCATAGTTTATTGTACTGTAAAGTTTAAAGGGAAGTGCAAAAGCTATTTCAATATCATTCAGATAAATCGATTTAATAATACAGAGATGGGTGCGTTTGTTGGGCCGTTTGGGAGAGATTTTATCGCCGTCTTGATTTTGCACTCTCGTCCATTGATTATTTTTATTTTTTTCGTCCATCGTCACTCGCTCTATAATTTTGAGATGCGATCCAGCGCGTCAAATTCTCATCACTCGAGCACAACGCCCGCTCTGCTCATCTTCCATTTCGGAGAGCTCTTCGATCGACTCCAGTCGACACTTTCACTTGAAATTGTGGGTATGATGCTCTCACTTGAATATTGGGATATCTCTCCTTTTGTTTATTTAACACATAGTTGTGCAATTAAACGCTTCTTTTCTGGCTGAACAGGTTCTTGCAGTTTATGCTTCCTTTTGTGTGGGCGTGGCTTGCGGTTTACCCGCCCACTGACTGCTGAAGCTCCTCCTCTCACTGGTACATATGAATGGAAGCCTTATGGCGACACGAATCAAGTAGTGCGCTTCGTTCACCCGATTCATTTTTTGTTTTTTATGTAAATTATTTCACTTCAGACTGATAAAGATGATGTTAGGTCTTGTGAGTGACTTTTAATGGCACGCGTTTTAATTTTTTTCATCTGTACTCGGCTTTTCTTTTTACATTTAGATGTCCTGTGGTTGTTTTTTTTGTTTTTTTCGTTTTTATTTCTGCACAATATGAACAGATCCTGTGGGGTCGGATGTGGCAGGTGTGTGTGTGCATGTGTGGAAATGCTTCTCGCTGCTGTTTTTTGCGTAGCTGGAAATCGAGGGTTCGGACGCCAGTGTTTGAGCAGGTTTCTGGGCTCCTAATGCTGCCACAAAGCTGTTCACAGTAGACATGCCAATACTGAAATAAAAAGCAACAATCCATCTCTGTTTGCCTGCTTCCAGGTTGACGTAAATGAAGATCTCATATTTTAGGCTAGTTAACACCTGATATTAAGATGCGTTTTGGTCGATCGGATCACAAGTGGACGACGCTAAATACAGGTGTAAACGGGGTCTGAAGCGTTTTGAGCTTGTCCACTTTAAACCACTTCCAGAGGTAGTGGAAAACACATTAAACCGGATAATTCCGGTATTTAACACCTTGAGTCTATTTTGTAGTTTGTTTTGAATGAAATAGAGTGGTGGACTTAGAAATTTCGACAATGGGTCCTGTCTGGACTTTTTGACTTTTTTAGAATCGCCTGTGACCGCGTTACACCGTGTCCTAACTACACGCGACACGATAAAATTCCAGCTACAGCAAGTGTGTCTGTCCACACTAGACGCAAAGCGACTGTGAGGTGCCACACATTCAGAACAGCGTGTGAGCCTATGATGTGAGCAGAGTCTCTCTGTGAAAGCGCACTGTTGGCCCGCACTCGCATTGGAAATGGGTATGGACAATCAAATCAAGAAATAACATTAAAAACATTAACAAAATATACTCATTGACTAATTTTGTTATTATTAATTATTATTAATTTTGTAATTTTGTTATTATGTTATTACATAGAATTCATTTTGAACGCTATATTACATGCTTTCAAAATCTGAGGTAAATTATCCTTATCGCTTGTGGCACAGTGACCTATTTTTAACTAAAAATAAATAATTTATACTCATAACCAGTGTAATTTCTTCATTCTGTCAGCCGCGACGTCGCAGAAATAGGAACCGTTTCTAAATTAGAAACTTCGCGTGTCGCCGTCGCGTCTGGTTAGGACAAAAACTCTGATTAACATGGAAAAGATACCTTTTATCGCGTGTCGCGGCGTCGCGTCGCGTGTAGTTAGGACACGGTGTTAGACTGGCTGTCTATGGGCATGCACAAACATGTCCATAAAACAACCCTTAACGTTCATTTTTAAAACTGTGCAACTCACCGAGTGGTTGGTGGTGTTCGTTGATGATTAAAAACAAATATATCGGCGCTATGTATGCTTTCAATCCGTGTTATTTGCTATTGTGGAACTATTTTTTCAGATACCTCACAACCGCGTATAAACTTCCGCTCGATATTTGAGTCTGAAGCGTTAGCACACTCCCGACCACTTGATGGCGACAACCAGGACGCTGTACGGAACATGGTGTCTAGCGCACCGTAAAAAAAGCCTTCTGAGAGACGGAAAATCGAGCGAAAAGACTACAACCAAATATAAACAGACCCCTTTTTCATTTCCGGTAGCTAGCCTAGCGCAGTAATACCAACGAGCACTGAGTCCTCCAGCAGACATCAATGCGATTTTAAAAAATGACAAATAAAACACGACAGAAACGGTATTTCGCTACGCTACTTGTTTCAGAACATCAACGAACACCACCAACCACTCGGTGAGTTGCACAGTTTTGAAAATGAACCTTAAGGGTTGTTTTAAGGACATGCCCATAGACAGCCAGTCTAACGCCGTCACAGGCGATTCTAAAATAGTCAAAAAGTCGAGACAGGACCCATTGTCGAAATTTCTAAGTTCATTCAAAACAAACTACAAAATAGACTCAAGGTGTTAAATACCGGAATTATCCTTTAAACCGGATCACTTTCGTAGTGTGAACGCTCATGTGATCGAATGTGTTCAAACACACCGTCTTCTCTCCGTCTACTGATCTAATGCGTGAACATTATGTTAGCCAGCCGGGATTTAAAGGGATGGTATAATGCCCTTTTCACAAGATGTAAAATAAATCTCTGATGTCCCCAGAGTGTGTATGTGAAGTTTTAGCTCAAAATACCCCACATATATTTTTATATAACATGTTAAATTTGTCACTTTTTGAGGGGGAGCAAAAACGCACCGTTTTTTGTGTCTGTCCCTTTAAATGCAAATGAGGCACAGAGGGCGGAGCTTGTGTGCGTGTGTGAGCATCTCCAATCATAGATCTCCATACTAAAGGCTAGATGTCTTACGGCGGATGTTCCATTCGACAGGGTCCCTACGCAGTGTTCACTGCTCCCTACTCCCTGAACACGGTATATCAGTTGAAGTGGACTTCACTGACTTCCTGTGAAGTGATGTATCGATGTTCCCTTATTCCCTATGCCGTTTGCAGTGCCCTTCGAACTGAACATGTTCGTTCACTTCGAATTGGAATCTCACTTAAGATGGCGAAATACCCTGTGAAGTCCACTTCACAGTCCACTTACGGTCGAATGGAACGCACCTATCTGTCGTCTTCACCGGCGGCCATCTTGTTACAGGCAAGCTGATGTAAGACGAACATAAATACTCTTATCTCGTTGAAATCTTGGCGGATTTGCAAACGGTTTGGTTTCTTACAAACGTTATTAACGTGGCTATAATTCTGTATTATTTATTTATACACTTTTTATTCATAAGTATGCAGTGTCATAACTACATCTCTGACGTTTATAACAAACCAAACTGTTTGAAAGTCGGTAGATAATTGAGCAAGTTATGGTTATTTAAAAGGTACATACACCATTAAAGCAATGTTACGAGTGAGCGAGCTGCCTGTGACAAGATGGCCGCCAAGTGCGGACGTCGACCTCCATTGACCAGCAGCGAGGACGAGACATCTAGCCTTCATTATTGATATATATAGCTCCGATTACAAATGTGCTCTTATACAACAGCTATTCCTCTTCTCAACATGGACTGTGTTTCTGGGGGCGGGTTTATGTAAATTTTATGGTTGGTGATGTCACTTACCCAGGAGGAATGTCGTTTAGTCAGCGATTTAATAGTGTAGAGATGAAGCAAAGCAAACCAAGCAGCTTTCTGGCCAACATGGCGAGGTCACATGACCAACGTGAACCAGTGAAATCTGCATGGGGGAAATCATTCGCGCTCACACAATTTGTGTAGACACCCGTGAACTTTTGCAGAAGGTTAAATATGGTGTCACCTTATGAAGAAAGTAAATATAACATACAAGTTAACCATTTTAGTTCAAACCCTCATTGGTTCAGATTATACATTTGTATATGAACAGATAGAAGCAACATGTTTTTCAACTTTTTATTTTCTGGAGCACGTTTTGTATTTATTGCCTGGGAAAATTACATGATTTGTTGTATGGGTGCGTCACTTTAGCTACTACACTAAGAATGATTGGATCATCAGCGCTGTCTTCATATTTTCTCCGCCATACATATTATTGAAGCATTAGTACTTTATTACATTAATAAAAACCTTTAGCACTTGAGGGCTGTTCACACTGACACACTGATTTGACAATGATGCCCAAATGTTACGGTCTGCCTAACTAGTCATAGCTTTGAAACCCCCAATCGAACATAAAGTGCACCAGCCGAACATGAATCGTCTCGCCTCAAACCACCAACTCTCATTCGCACTGAATGATGCTTTCAAACCGATGTCAGTGTGAACGCTCTTTTAGATTCAGAGCCTGTAAGTTTGGGTGATTAAAGTGAAGGCGTTTCCTACAAAGCTTTGGAGTGACGATGAAGCGTTCATGTCTGTTTCAGCAGCTCGTCAGACGAGGTAGTCGATCTCAGAGTACAGGGTGTCGGTGAGGTCCTCCTCGCTGGAGTTCTGGCTCTTCAGACACAGAGCGCCTCGTCTGATAAAGACAAACAACGTTTATGACCAATTTCATCAGTTTTCATGTTTCTTTAGCAACAAACCAGCATATTATTATGATTTCTGAAGGATCATGTGACACTGAAGACTGGAGTAATTATGCTGAAAATGCAGTTTTGCATCACAGGAATACATTACATTTTCACATACAGGTGAAACAAACAACTTGAATATCGTGCAAAAGTTCATTTGTTTCAGCAATTCGACTTAAAAGGTGAAACTAATATATTATATAGACTCGTTACATGCAAAGTGAGATATTTCAAGCCTTTATTTGTTATAATTTTGATGATTATGTACGGAGGCGTATTGCATTCACTTGAAGAAAAAAAAATCTACTCTGTTTTTCTGAATTAATGAGTTAATTTTTCATGAGAATTTTTTTTTGCTCTGTTCTGAATTAACGAGTTAATTTTTCATGAGAAAAAAATATTTTGCTCTGTTTTTCTGAATTAATTAGTTAATTTTTCGTGAGAAAAAGAGTTAATTCAGAAAAACAGAGCAAAAAAAAAAAAAAAAAAAAATCCATGACAAACTAACTTGTTAATTCAGAAAAACAGAGAAAAATATTTTTTTTTCTCATGAAAAATTAACTCATTAATTCAGAAAAACAGAGCAAAATATTTTTTTTCTCATGAAAAATTAACTCATTAATTCAGAAAAACACAGCAAAATATTTTTTTTCTCATGAAAAATTAACTCATTAATTCAGAAAAACACAGCAAAATATTTTTTTTCTCATGAAAAATTAACTCATTAATTCAGAAAAACAGCAAAATATTTTTTTCTCATGAAAAATTAACTCATTAATTCAGAAAAACACAGCAAAATATTTTTTTCTCATGAAAAATTAACTCATTAATTCAGAAAAACACAGCGAAAAAAAATTTTTTACATAAAAAATTAACTCGTTAATTCAGAAAAACAACAAAAACTATTTTTCTCATGAAATATTAACTCATTAATTCAGAAAAACAGTAGATTTTTTTTTTTTCAAGTGAATGCAATACGCCTCCATAATTATGGCTTACATCTATAAACCTTTCACAATATTCTAATTTTGATTTTGGGGTTTTCATAAGCTGTAAGCCATAATCATCAAAATTACAACAAATAAAGGCTTGGAATATCTCACTTTACATGTAATGAGTCTATATTGTATATTAGTTGCACCTTTTAAGTTAAATTACTGAAATAAATGAACTTTTGCACGATGTACATTAAAATAGAAAAGTTATTTTTAATTGTAATAATATTTCACAATATTAGTGTTTTAACTAGGGCTGTGAACCGATTAATGGCGATTAATCGCATCCAAAATAAAAGTCCGTGTTTACATAAAATATATGTGTGTAGTGTGTATAGTTATTTTTTATATATAGACACATATGCATGTATATATTTAAGAAAAATTTGTTGTTAAAATATCAAATATTTATATTTATGTATAATATTAATTTTGTATAAATATACATAAAGTATATACATGCAAATATTTATTAAATATATACATTAAATGTACAAAATAATTATACACACTACACACACATATATTATGTAAACACAAACTTTTATTTTGGATGTGATTAATCACGATTAATTGTGTATTTTTTTTTATCAAATAAATGCAACCTTGGTGAGACTTCTTTCAAAAACTATCCTAAATTGTTGACTGGTAGTGTATAAATAATAATATATTGTTCAGAATGAGATGTCCTTAGGGCTTCTTACCCCAGATGTTGGCACTGCAGGTCTCCAGCACATGGGCAGTGCTCTTGAGGATTCCCCCCCTCCAGATCCCATGACAGCAGCTCCATCAGGTGATTGGCTGAAATGATGCAGCGCTCACGTTCTATTGGCTTAGAGCTGCACACTGGGAACAGCAAGGCTGAAAAATGAATACATTAGTAGTTATGAATCAATGGTGGAAATGATTCATCTTAGTGAATCGAGTCATTTGATTCAGTTCACCAACAAGAGTCGTACTGATTCATTCAGTGCCATTACATATTTACTCCAGTAGGTGGTGACAAAGTAATGTCATGATAGTCAATACAACAAGCCTTATTATCCTTTATTCAAATTTGTGCATCTACAAATCAAGTGTTATCCTCACAGAAACATATAGATATATTGTATTGCAAAAGTCGCTAATGCGAAAGAGATGAGTGATTCAGCAAAGCTAGGTGTATTCATTTAGCAGATCCAACCTGGTGAAATGCTCCTTTACAACCCACACTTGAATACTATTGGTTTGTGCTTAAAGCTACACTGTGTAACTCTTTTAGTTTATTCTGTGCTCATTAATGTATATTTACTTCCTTCAAGTAATAAAGTATTCTGGTGAGTGTATAATATGCCATTGAAAATACATACGGGTAAGGGGTTCGCCATGTTGCCCCTCCATCTTGAAAGTACATTAGCCAAAGAGGGACATACCCGTTAATTCAAGCTTCGCCTTTCGCGTTTACGTTTGAGTTAACACTCATGGATGAGGTCGAACTGAAAGCCATGTTAATCTTGGACTACATTGGCCACCGTAGGAGTTAAAATGAAATTGGAATTGAGAGGAAAAGAAACTAATATTCACTGGATGGTCAAATACCTTTTCACCACTAGATGGGGGTAAAAATCACACAGTGTAGCTTTAAGTCAGGCTTTACAGCTTTAAGAAGCCACCAGAGGTCACAAACTTCAAAATGGAGCTTTAAAAGGGAAGGATCAAAATCGAAAATCGCATACTTCTCTATTATAGTAGATGAAAAACAGTATTTACTTAACTGTGACTGCTAAAAAAGTATGTTCTATATAGTGTGCATGTAATTCGTACGAGTATTATGTCCCTAAATGTAATCCGATGTAATCCGACAAGAGTAGTATGTCTGAATTCACAGTTCTCATAAGAGAATAGGCAAAAATTACCCAGATGACCTTCCGGCGAGATTCTGGGGTGTGCGCACGATGGTTACTTATCCCATGAGGCCACGGGAGATGATTTGTAAATGGCAGTGAAGCGACGTAACTGACGCTGGTTGGTCACATGATAATGACAACATGGCAAATGTAGTGCGTCCGGATTACGTCCATACTACACACATTTATACTATGTAGAACACTTTTTTAGCAGTCACAAAGTACATACTTATTCAAAGTACCTACTCAAGAGAGTATACGCTTTCAGACACAGCCTAGGTGAATGAGAGTGATATTTCGAGTGCACTATCGAGCAGTGTCAGCATATGCCAACCAAAATATTGAACAGATAATCTGACACGGTCCTATGATGCTAGATGCTCCTACGCTATCCCACGACCAATTCGTACGAGTGGCTAATTCGTACTAATTCATACAACCTCACTCGTACGAATTCAGACGATGACGAATTCACCAACGTGATGGGTAGGTTTAGGGGCGGGGTCAGGGGTAGGTCCTTCGTACGAATTCAAACGAATTGGCCAATTCGTAAAATATGTACGATTTAGCTAAAACGTACGAATTGTTACAAATTAGCCACCTCGTAAAATTCGTGCGAATTCTCGTGAGATCGGGTTGGATGCTCCTACCTTTATGGAAGGCACAGCAGAACTCCTCCTTACAGTCTCTCTGGTACTGACAGATGGTCCCCGCGTCTCCCTTTGAGCTGTTCCTCGCACACTGACCCCACACACACAGCTGTCCCGCACAGCATTCCTCATCTTTAGTGCACGTCTGAGGGGGATAACGTACAGAGAGTGCCTTGAGACAGCTATTCACCCTTTGAGTTCACGTTACACTTACATTTCAGCATATTTTTGTATCAAACGCGAGTCTTTCTTTCAGGACATCAACACAGAGGTGGTCCTGCAGCAAGGTATCTCCAGATATCACTACTAATACTAATATGAACAGTTACTACTAGCTAAACAGTAGATTTAAAGTCCCCCTGTGGTGAAAATCAAGCTTTTATTGTTATTTATGTGTCTTAATATGCTTTAAAGGGTTAGTTCACCCAAAAATGAAAATTCTGTCAGTATTTACTCACCCTCATGTTGTTCCAACCCCGTAAGACCTTCGTTCATCTTCGGAACACAAATTAAGATATTTAAGATATTAAGATCGCTCCTGCATACTAGTCCATAGGCTTCTTGAGGGAATGACACTTGCCGGCATCGAAAAGTCATTAAAGACATCGTTAAAATAGTCCAAGTGACTACAGTGGCTCAATTTTAACTTTATCAAACGACGAGAACACTTTTGTGCGCAAAAACAAACAAAAATAACGACTTTATTTCAACTATTCACTTCCTTCTCCATGAGCCTGTAGTCAGTTAACGTAGTGTGATTGCGTAAAGCTACGTCACACGTAGGCTCACTATTGGCCGACGCTGGTCATGTGTGTGATGCGTGTGACGTACAATAACAGAAGCTTATGCTATTAAACTAGTAACCTGACTCGCGCAGAGGGAGAAATAAACGAATAGTTGAAATAAAGTCGTTATTTTTGCGCACAAAAGTGTTCTCGTCGTTTGATAAACTTAAGATTGAGCCCCTGTAGTCACTTGGACTATTTTAACGATGTCTTTAATGACTTTTCGAGGACATCAATTGTCATTCCCTAAAGAAGCCTATGGACTAGTATGCAGGAGCGATCTTAATATCTTAAATATCTTAATTTGTGTTGCGAAGATGAACGAAGGTCTTACGGGGTTGGAACAACATGAGGGTGAGTAAATACTGACAGAATTTTCATTTTTGGGTGAACTAACCCTTTAAGAAAAACCATGTGCAAATTTATAAATCGACAACATTGCTGAGTATTTTCTCCTTAAAACTGCAGTAAAAGGGTCTCAAAAACACGGTTTGAAATCGCTGACGTCACAAACTACCTTACAACCAATTGGATCAACGTGTGATCGTCAACGAGTGGATCTCTGAGATGAGTGGGTGAGTGGAGGCGGGGCTCACTTGCATATTCATAGAACCACGTATAGAGTTACATTCAAGCTATTCAAGGAAAATGTCATTTTGGTGATCAAAGATGAGTTTTTAGATACAATTATTGACCACAGGCGGATTTTAAGACTAGTATCTGGCTGCGAAATCATTGCCACCATGATGTCAGCGTGTTCCTATGTGATTTTTAAGGGGTTCTGGGTAGGAATGACATGAGTGTTGGGAGTAACAACACTCAGTAACATATTACGTTTTGCTGTAACGCAGTAGTGTAAGGCATTACTAATCAATTTTCAGTAATATTTTACTCGTTACATGTTCAGTGAGGCTTGTATTACAGTGTATTGTCTGCTTTTACTTCTTAAAGGCAACAGACTATGTGAAAGTTTTAAAGCAGTCTTTTAGTGCCAGTTCAGAACTGTAACTTTGTTTTTTCCTCATAAATGCGAACACGAAAACTAAAATAAAATGAATATTTTAAGTTCTATGGAGACCGGAGAGCCAACCCTTCCTCATCCGATTTGCGCAGTGTAATTAACAGAATTACAACAAATATATTTTGCCTCCTATTTTTTTGTCACGCATGAATGTGTGTCTTTTCCCTAATATTAAAAATAAAACATAGACTGATATTTGTCTAATGTCTGGAGTCCTTTAAGGAAGTAGCCTATATACGTTTAAATACAAATTTTTATTTCAAGTTTTGACTGCAAATGTCATCATGTCCATAATGCTGGACTTCCCCAATTTTAAATAATTTATCCTCAACTAGTTTTGTGGTGTAGGTCTACGTATTTTATAATGTTAACTTCAAATAATAGTAATAGCCTAATTTAAAGATAAGGCGGCATTGGATATGGACGGTAAGGAGAATAACGCTGGAGTCGGAAGAGGTGTGTCGCGATTCTGTAGGTTCGTGGATGTGGCGAATCGCGATTTCGGTTTCATATTGCATATCGTTACAGCCCCAAAGTTAAGTTCTACTTAGTTATTTTGGTGAAAGTAACTCAAAAGTAATACATGAGTAATGTAACGCATTACAATTCTGAGACAGTAATATTGTAAGGTAATGAATTACTTTTAAATAACAGTAACAAGTAATACCTAATGTATTTCAGTTTGGAAGTAACTTGCACAACACTGATCATTCATTATTGAATAACACAGAATTGCATTCACAGTGCTTTCCAATTGAGATCATTTTAAATTTCAATAAATCTTCAACAGTATCCTGTTAGAGTAATGCATATTTCTATTCTGCTTAGTTGGCTACCGTACTTCCTGTGCTTCGAGGTGAACTCGGTGTCCTATGTGGGGCCGGAGATGCTCATATTTAGCAATCTGTGCACTTTAATGTGAAACCCAAAGGAGAAACGCTCCAGCATATCAGATTCCAGGTGCACTCGTACTGCAATGCGGTCACAATGCAGGCTCAGTTGCATCATATTGCTGGAAAGCCACATTCTAGGGTACAATCTTTGTGCAGAAAACCAAACGGAAATAACTGGGACTAGGCTGAACACCTAGCATGCATCTATCTTTTATTCTATATTAAGCGTACCTTGCAGTGTTGCCTGGTCTGTGAAATTTGAACCCTCTTACCGCATCAAGCTGTTTGCAGGGCAGACACTTTGAGCTGTGTGTCTCGTAGAGACAAAACCTGCCCTTCTCACAGTCTTCATCAATGACACACTCCTGAGAGACACAAGAAAAGCATTAAAACCTTCAAGACGGAACAGCTTCAAACTTTAAGCACGTAGTCCACATTACTAATCAATAGCAGTGTTACTGTATACTTCCCCACGGAGTTAAAACAACATTCTCAGGATTTTAGGAGGATGTGAGCTGGTCATAAACTGTAGGTATCATAACATTTAAGCTGAAAAAACGTTTTATCCCTTTTTTAACCCTGGTGGTTCATAAGTATTTAACAGAAGGAAAAAGTCATACCTTCCAAATAAATAATATTAAACTTATTAAATACAACCACTGTAATTATATTGTTACAAATTACACGTAGACCACATCTAATTAATTAAATGTCTTTGTAATTAATTGTGATATTTATTTTGCAAATAATATGCATTTGAAAATTGAAATGCGCAATCTCGTCTGGAAAAAAACGGACCAAAAATATTGATGACTCATCCTGCACTACACGGATTTTTGTCCAATCACGTGCTGTCTAGAACAAATGTCCCTCCCCCTTAACCAACAGCAACTGACTAGCAAATGGCAAATATTTTGTAAAGAATAGCTGCGTTTTATGCCCTTCCCTCGCTAACTTCCCTTCGTCTCATTCACTCACTGCGCTGCACGAGTGCCCACTACTGGCGGAGCCCTTGAAACGTGTCCCCCATGTAGTCAACAATTGTATCCCTTGAAACTCATCTTTGATCACCAAAATGACATATTTAAACATTATGTAATTTAAACGTAAAATTAGCTATAGCGGAACTGAATTCGTGTTCGTTTGCTGAGAGTTGAAATTTTTTTTTTCTTCAGAAAACCACGTGAAAAAACAAACACTTTTTAACTACGAGCACGTCCCAAATTTGCACGACCCAATCCTGGCTCACTTCAGCAGTGATGTCCAGTACTTTATACTGCTTATACTGTCTAAAAGCTATGGAAGCTTGTTTCCGCCACTGAATAAAAAATAAATAAATAAATAAAAATTGCGACTTTTTATCTCGAAATTCTGACATCTTTTCTTAGAATTGTGAGATATAAACTCGCAATTGCAATCTGACTTTACAACACGCAATTTCGACTTTATATCTCACAATTCTGACTTTATATCTCGCATTTCTGACTTTATATCACGTAATTCTGACTTTATATCACGCAATTCTGACTTTATATCACGTAATTCTGACTTTATATCACGCAATTCTGACTTTATATCTCACAATTCTGACTTTATATCTCACAATTCTGACTTTATATCTCACAATTCTGACTTTATATCTCGCATTTCTGACTTTATATCTCACAATTCTGACTTTATAACACGCAATTCTGACTTTATATCTCGCAATTCTGACTTTATATCTCACAATTCTGACTTTATATCTCGCATTTCTGACTTTATATCACGTAATTCTGACTTTATATCACGCAATTCTGACTTTATATCTCGCAATTCTGACTTTATATCTCGCAATTCTGACTTTATATCTCGCAATTCTGACTTTATATCTCGCAATTCTGACTTTATATCTCGCATTTCTGACTTTATATCTCGCAATTCTGACTTTATAACACAATTGTGACTTTATATCTCGCAATTCTGACTTTATAACACAATTGTGACTTTATATCTCGCATTTCTGACTTTATATCTCGCATTTCTGACTTTATATCTCGCAATTCTGACTTTATAACACGCAATTGCGACTTTATACCTCGCAATTCTGATTTTATAACACCCAATTCTGACTTTATAACACGCAATTCTGATTTTATAACACCCAATTCTGATTTTATAACACCCAATTCTGATTTTATAACACCCAATTCTGACTTTATATCTCGCAATTCTGACTTTATAACACGCAATTGCGACTGTATATCACACAATTCTGACTTTATATCTCGCAATTCTGAGAAATAAAGTCAGAATTACGAGATGTAAACTCGCAATTGTGAGAAAACAAGTCAGAATTGTGAGATAAAAACTCTTTATTATCTTTTTTATTTTTCATTCTGTGGCGGAAACAAGCTTCCATAAAAAGCAGACCTGTAGGGAAATCCACTCTCAATTATTCAGCATTCACTTTCTCTGTCTGAACTCTCTGGACGCCTGGAATGAACAGGTCTGAAATGTCAAATGGATCCATAAAGCCTCGGACGAGATCCGTCGATTATCAGCAGAACTGTCAGCTCAGATCCAGAACCCTGTCATCTAAAAGAGCCGACTCGTTTCAGTCAGACGGGAAATAAAGCGCTGAGGAAGAGTATTCCTCTTCCTGAACGCTATCCTTCCTGACTTTCTGAAAATGTGCACAGTAAAAGGCCAGATAAATGCCATGTTTCTCAGACACAACTAGACAGGCGAACAGACAGACGGCTCACGTGATCATGATCAGTGCTGTTCTCTTTATCTCCCGGCCGCACGGTTGTGGAGGTGTTTGTGTCTTCAGCTGGATTCTCTGTAGTCTGGGCGTAAAAAGACAGATGTGCATTTAGCCACCATTTAAAACATGATACACATATAGCCTACGTGCGAAGAAACACGCGAAATAGCACGTCTAGAACAACTCAATTACTTTTAAATGGTCATTATGCTGAATGATTTGACCATCAGGGAATCAGGTCTCGACTGACTGCGTTTTAACTGCATTACTGAATCATACTAAAGCTCTTCACCTACCGCATTGATTCTCTCAGCGATGTAATTAGATTGATTCCCAGCTATGATTTCAATACTGCTGTAATTTTGGAGGTTTGAAGAGACGTTGTGTGGATGGAGGCTTGATTTTGCCGTCTCATTGTCCATCTGAGGGAGAAAGAGAAAAAAAAAGCCAATAAGTCAAACTGTGCAATTACTTATGAGCTATTTCTACATGAACTGGCTCTTAAAAATCACTTTCACTGATTTTCATTACTTTTTTTTTTTTTTGCCCGTTCATGATTACTGGTTAAATCTGATATAGATTACACTAACAAAGAGCTGAGCGTTGCAAGAAGTAAAAGATTTTATGATTTCCATGACTTTTCCAGGCCCAAAAATAATGTTTAATTTTATTATAATGATTTTCCCTTACAGTGAGTACTTTTTTATGTTTATTCAAAAATAATGAATGCTTCTTGACTTGAATAAAACCAGTTAGTTCAAATTTCACCACAAAAAGCACAAACGGACCTGACTATAAATTTTGAGGCCTACAAAATAGGCCGATTTTTACAAATTTGAATTACTGATCTACTTTTCAACTTAATCTGTCATCAGTTCTTTAAGATCAGGTTGGTGATAAACAGTGTTGGTCAAGTTACTTGGAAATAGTAATTAGTTACTGATTACTTCTCCAAGAAAGTAATCCAATTACTTATTTTCAAAAGTAATTACTAGTTACTTTTCAAAAACATGATGCACGACCTGAATACACTAAAGCATAGACCTTTCAGCCTAATTCTATTCTTTCTGCATATTCCATCATCTAAAATGTAATCAAATTAAACATTCTCTTTTATAAACTTGTTTTATTTGTTTCAATATTTTAACTTTATGCACATTGCATCAAGCAAAAAAATACATTAAATGCGACAGTCTCAGACTAGAAGAAAATTGTTGAATATTTAAACCTATTTTCTGCACATTCCACCATAGTTTAATGAAATAAAGACAGTCCTTCTTCTGTTAACTTAAATTTCAACATATTCCAGCATATACAATAAATATATTTTGTAAAATCCTTCATTTGAATAGATGTAAAAAATGAAAGTCGCTCCTGACTTTATTACAAATGATTAACACTTACGTCTTTTAACACTGATAAATGGCACATTTGTGGGATGATCTTTGAAGAAAAAATATGGTTCACATAAAATAGTTTCAAAATATCTGTACTATGAAAATTGATTGGTCATAATGCATGACATTTTTAGATGTGATCATGTCTGCACAAAAAAACACAACACATCTAATATTAATTAAGAAAAGTCTATTCTGATTTGTCATGTGCATAACCAGTGATGCTATCAAAACTAAGCTATTAGTTATGACAGAAGTTCAAATGATAATCCAAATCTTCGCTTATATATTGTGTTGAAAGCAGAAACCTGATGCACCGCGTCCTCCAGCTTCTGCTGCGTGTCCTCCATCAGGTCCTCCTCTACCTCTTTCAACACATCGTTCAGTGTCGATTGTCCTTGCACTACATTTGTCTCCATGTTTGCAATGATGTCCATGTCTGTTTTGGCTATTTCGGGGACAATGCCATGGACGATGCCCAGGCACAGGCTGAATCCGAGCAGAAACATGTTGATCGCGAGGCTGATGCTGTATGTGTGTATGTTTGTGTGTGTGTGTGTGATCAGAGGAGCTCCAGCTGCGTGCGTGCGGCGATGCGATGCGATGCGATGCGATGCGCGTCCACTCAAACACACAATCCTCCTTCTGCATCTCTGGCTACACACACACATACTGCATGCCAGGCATTCAGTGCGTTTGCGCGCGCATTCCTCATATGCAAATCAACTGTGATGCACAATTAGCCTACATATTTGAGTTATTTGACTTTTTATTTGAATTTACCTGAATATATATTTACGCAAAACATAAGACTTATAATCTTGAAGTTAACAAGAGGTCTAAAATAATAGAAAACATCTATTCTATTCCACAAGAAAAAATAGTTCCCCCTAAATAATAATTAAAGGTAGAGTAGGGAATTTCTGAGAGGCTAGCGATAGCAAGCTAGCTTTGAAAGCATGAGATCCCACCTTCCCTTCAGAGTGTCTAAGCCACGCCTCCTCCAAAACACAACACACACAGCCAGAGCAAAGTCAGCAAGTGTTCATTGCCTTCAATTTTATATATTTATTTTTTTTCTTTCTCATATTGTACACTTTTTTCTGAATCAACATATCTGCATGAATAACACTGGCTGCGTTCGAAATCACGTAACATGCTATGTAGGTACTATATTTAAATAAGTCTTCCTGATGCTGATGTGGCGGCCATTTCTGAGATAAGATGTTTGTCAGTGGACACATTACATCAAATATTCTATTTATAACAAACTTATAAGTTGTCATGAATTTGGTAAGTATATCTTTACTAAAACATGACTTTTATATATATATTTATTAAAATGATCCATAAATTAAGTGAAAAACTCAACTCTGTCACAAGTTTTCAACCCTGAACCTATGAGAAATGTGACAGGGTTGAGGTTTTCTGCACAAAATGGCCACTGCTCCTCTTCTAGAGTAGGAGACTAGATGAAATAAAGTATATGCATTGTATCTGTATGTTCAGGTTGATGTATATTTATGGATTAAAATAATTATTTTCCATCTTAATATTTATGTGATGGGGTTGAGTTGTTAAGCTTTACAGTACCCTCCCTTGACTATAGGCCTCAAAAATATGGATGAAAAGTATAATACTAATTACCATCTTATGCAACTGTTAAAAAGACCGGAATGATGTCATTTCTGGTATTATAGGCGGAGATTAGTTGATGTGACGGGGTTGAGTTCAGACTGAGGGGCAACACTTTATAGTCTGTTTTTTTTTTAATTAAAAATCTTGCTTTTTTTTTTAGAAAAATAAAAATAAAGTAACAAATAAATACAAAATTGCCAATTTTTTTTGACACTGTAAATTTTTTTCTATATTTTCTAAGTTCAAACTCAGTGAAGTATCTGACAAAATGCTTAGTTTACAATATAAATAAGACACTATTTTATGATCAAAATTATTTAAATGCAATTTTTTTTTTATTCATTACAATGGACATACCTAAGTATTGTGGAAAGCTTTTAATAGGCCTATTTAATTTTTAAAAGTCCGGGGGACTGAAACATTACCGAATCCCAGGAATGACCCTGCTATCAAGATGTGAAGAGAGTTACAACTAGAATAACAAAAAGTGTTTATTGAAATAGTTACCTCACTTTAGCTAAACTAAAGGATGGCCAACTAGTGAACTGAACTGGGTGACTGAATCAGTCAGATTACTGAACGAATGAATCATTCAGATACAGATCTGACTCAAAATAGTAGAAAAAAATCCATCATCATATATGGATATAATAATATTCCCAAATATCCAAAAACAATTAGCTTTTATTGCTTTAACCGTTTTAACTCTTGAATGACACATTAATTGCATGTTTGATCCACATGGTGGCGCCGTTGTTTAATTTGATGTAGTCACGTGCATAGCCCAATACTGAGTGACCAGCGTCCACGAAACTCCAGTAAACATCACTGCATTGGAGTCATTTGAAATATTTAAAGTTGGCAGGTAACGATACTAGATTATATCAGTGATTCTCATTCAGGGTTCAGTCCTTAAATGAAAGTATGATAAGCATGAACTTATATCACCTGCCTACGCCGGAAGCTATGACGAGTGAAATACCTGTCCTCTCATTCGTTATCACCGGTTCATGTCAGCAAGTGATTTAGAGTTGAAGTGATTCAAACTGAACCAACACGGATAACAGTTCATTTGGACATTATTCTGCCTCCACTATAAAACAGCACAGCCAATAGGAAAACCTTCCACGCATGTAACTGTGGATGATAGCCAGTATATTTTGTGTCTTGTGAAAGAGAAGATTGCGGACACACACACACACACACACACACACACACACACGCGCACACACACGCGCCTCCAGCTAAAGTCACTCAACAGATCAACGCGCGCGCTTCACTGCCTCTCACTTCTGACTGACTGACTGTCAGTCACACACACACACACACACACATACAAACGGAACCGCTGTACTGTACCTGTTCCTTCAATCCCTCACGGACTTATAATGAAAAGTAGGTGCCTATTACTTATTTTAAATACTTATTTTTATACTTAAGTTCGTATTTTGTGAACAGTATTGTTGAATCGCTCTTCCTCTGAGTAGAAACTATCCATTGAGCTCTAATGACAGGTTGTTTTGGTTCAGTTTCACCTGAAGAAAGCGATTTAGCCTATATTACATCGTTGCTGTATTAGTTTTTACTCTACAAATATTATGAAACACTGCCGCCACAACAAATCGGCGTCAATATCCTTCGTCTGGTTCATTTATTGATTAGTTAAGTTGACGAAGCAAACTAGCAGTCTCATTCTTTACGAAACATTCGCTCTCGTGAGCTGATACATAGCCTATTTTTAGTTTATTCAATGTCAGTAAGCTTGAGTAAAATAGTTTAGTAGGGCATCTCCATATAGAGAGGAAGCTGCTTCTCTTTTTAATTTTTTTAAACGTCTGACGTTCTTTAAATGACATTCTTTTCATTGTTAATAATCAAACGAATTGTTATTAAGGGTGCAGTTCTGGTTACTTAAAAACAAAGGTTGTTTATTAGCAACCTTTTAATAGCAGACAACTTTCTTTACAGTGGAAAAAGGTTATATCATAGCCCATAGCTATGACATAGCCTATATGTTCTTCACACTAAGAAAAAAAAGTGGTTGTTTTAATATTTGGGGAACCCAACATGGTTCTTCTTTGAAATCTCTGCAAAAACACCATTTGAAATCCTTATTTTTAAGTGTATCAGTTATTGGACACAGAGACACCAGGCACGAGTTCAACTGAGAGAGAGAGAGAGATGAAGTACAGTGACACCAAAGGTATTCACACACTTAAAATGTCTTAATATCTTAGCCTTATTACAACCTTTGTTTAACTTTTAAAATAACATTGTTTATAAATTTGTGTCAAATGTTAGTGGAACATGTCAGTTTCTGAAGGCGTCCGCTAAAATTGGGGCCAGTTGGTTTTAATTACAAAATGAAAAGTGAAGAATGGAAATGATCTCAATAACATCATTTGTTTGCGAGACAAGCGTGACTTAAGTATTCAAACTTTTCGGGGCCACTGTGAATAAAAGTATGAAATATTAGTTTTGCGCCTTAGGCTACTTCTCTGAATAGAATCCCATCCGGTATGAAATCTATAAAAGCATTATGTCATTTAATGTGCAAAAAATCCATTTCATCTTTTGTTTTGGACCTTGAATGAATATAAAGGTGGTTGATTATGATTTCACTTTTCTAACTTTAGTTAGTGTGTGATGTTGCTGCTTGAGCTTAAAGGAGAACTCCGGGTCAATCTACTTTTTTTGTCATTTTTTTGTTAAGCAGGTTTAGAACTTGCCCCATTGAAGTCAACAGGGTGCAGTTTTAAAAAGACGATTACACAGTGTAGGTTAGGGTTGGGTATCGTTTGAATTTGAACGATTCTGATTCCGATTCCGATTCCTTGTTTCGATTCCGGTTCCTAACGATTCTCAATTCTGATTCTTTTAAGAGGCAGGGTCAAAAAAGTTTAGCTAACCTTGCTAACCAACGGCCTTTCTGAAGGAAATACTCCTTCTGTAAAAATACAAATTTTGCATTTTGCCGAGATTTCGTTATTTTTAGAAAAGTAAAGCCACACTTTGGATCGCCGACGTAAGGTACTCATGTTCGACTCGTGTGGTTATACCAACACTTCCGGTAGACGCTTCTTCGTTGGTGTTGTTCAGCGGTTTCTTCTTCCGCTCGGCGGACTGTGAATATCGAAACTAGGAATCGAAATTTTAACTTTTGAACGATTCCGGGAAAAACGAAAAGTTAGTCTCGGTTCCAATCGATACTCGATTCTCGATACCCAACCCTAGTGTAGGCAAAACTGATTTTTGTCGTTTTTGTCCGTACTGAGACTGACGGCACTCCAAATGTACAAAAAAATTAGCTCAATGTTAAAATTGACTGGAGTTTTCCTTTAAACGACATCTGCAAAGTTACAATGCTCAAAGTAAAAAGCAAAGGGAGATAATATTTGCTTTTAAAGAAATCGTTTTTTAACGGCTGGGTAGGAACTACCTGGGTTAGTGACATCACCAACCCTATAATTTACATAAACCCCGCCCCCAGAAACGTAGTCCATGTTGAGAAGAGGAAGAGCTGTTGTATAGGAGTACATTCGTGAGTCAGCTCAAACTGTCGTGTGTGTCTTACAACAGTTCATATACAATTTTATAGATTATCATGACAGAATATGCTAATTAAAGATACTTAACTCCACATAAATTAATCAAGAGTTGTCCTGTTGCATTCTACGTGTTGAGTCTCTCCATCTTTGTCTGACTTCGGTTTAAACATAAAAGGCAGAACAGTTTCTGACATTTTAGTGTGTGTCTGCGTGAGGCGGTAATCGGAGCTGCTAAACACACACTCAGGAGCTCTTGAAGCTCCGCCCTCTGTGCAGGGAGCAGCAGCTCATTTGCATTTAAAGGGACACACCCGAAACGACTCAAAAAGAGACAATTTTAACATGCTGTAAATAATGATCTGTGGGGTATTTTGAGCTAAAACCTCACACACCCTGGGGACAACAGAGACTTGTTTTACATATTGTAAAAACAGGCATTATACCATCCTTTAAGACTCTTTTGATTTAAAATGCAAACTACTGTTCGCTTTGTCTCAGAGAGAGAGAGAGGGAGAAGGAGGAGGTAGAGAGATGAATGATTGGTTCTCAGTGTGAGAAAGCTAATACTCCTTTTAAAGTTTCTTCAAGGAGTCAGTGGCTCGTTCAGGAACCACTTCAGTTTAGTAGATTTTACACCACTTGATTTTCACAGTTTTCTTTGTCAAGATCTTTGTCAAATCCAGACAGTGAGTGAATATTGGAAAGTGGTAAATTCACCCTTTGGATATTCGACACATTTTCACCTTTTGGACTTTAAACACAGAGTTGTTTACGCTCAGTCGCTCAACCTGAGGTTTGCTTTTTGGAGACGACAATCACGCTAAATATTGACGTTCTTCTGATCAATTTAGTCATCTCAACCGTTGAAGAACCTTTAGTTTTAAGATTTGACATACTGTTTAAAGATTTAACCAAATAGTATTATGATGTATTTTAACTGTGGCACTGTAGTTATTTATAAAACAATTGTCTATTATATAAATGATGCTTTATAAATAGACTTCAAGGAAAGGGTTCATGAAGTTTAACTCTGGTTAAGCCCTGTGGGTTTTGTGATCCAACTTCCTCTGTGGATGAGCAATAAATGCATGTCTTACCTCATAAGATGATTCACACTTGTTCATAAAAAAGCAGATTTTTATTTTTTTTAATAGAATTAGGCTCTCAAAAGTAAAACAAAATAAAAACAATGCTTTTAAGCATGCCATAAAAAAGTTATTCTGTCATAGTAATTCAATCTGTAAGTACCAGATTCATGTTTTTCCATGCCCACAAAATTGCATGAATGATAATTACATACAGCCCTATTATAAACGCATTGAAATCCCCTCAACAGAGGTGCATTCCTATTACAGTCCACATAGCATTCAACAGACAGTGATAAACATTCATTGCATTTTTATTTAAACCACCTTTCTGTCTGGTTGGGAGAAATTTCCTCAATAACGGTCCGTGCATTTGGCCACTGTAGAGCAGCGGTGCTGAATCCTTCTGATCAGACACCGACAAGCTCACTCTGCCAGTTGTGTGTCCTGAACACTGTGTGTACTCCAACACCGTTATTTGTCAGAAGTTAGTCCATGTGTTACTGTTAAGTAAGGAATTTTTACTGAGGGGCTTTGCCATGTTTATACTGTATAAGCACAAAAATAGAGTGGAAAGAAGAATGCTTTTTTTGGCAAGACATGAAACCAATCGTGTTGTACGTATATATTGAAATTAGGAATCAGTTATACTTATAAATTTGCTTTTATGCTCTGTTTAAACACTGGCTAATGATTTGGTGTGTTAAAAAAAGGCAGTTGCTGAACCTGGTTATGCATTTTCTACCTATTATATTTTCATATACACTCTCTGAAAAAAAGGTACAAAAGCTGTCACTGGGGCTGTACCTTTTCAAAAAGTATACTTGTGTCCATTTTAGGTGCTAATATGTACATTTTAGGTGTTAATATGTACATTTTAGGTGCTAATAAGTAAATTTTTATTATTATTTCCTTTATTTAACCAGGAGAGTCACATTGAGATATTACTATCTCTTCTTCCAGAGAGACCTGATTTTAAGTGTTAATATGTACATTTTAAGTGCTAATATGTCCATTTTAGTTGTTAAGTCCATTTTAGGTGCTAATATGTACATTTTAGGTGTTAATATGTACATTTTAGGTGCTAATAAGTACATTTTAAGTGTAATATGTACATTTTAGGTGCTAATATGTACATTTCATGAGGTAATATGTCCATTTTAGGTGCTAATATGTACATTTTAAGTGTTAATATGTACATTTTAGGTGCTAATATGTCCATTTCATGAGCTAATATGTCCATTTTAGGTGTTAAGTACATTTTAGGTGTTAATATGTACATTTTAGGTGCTAATATGTACCACTAAGGTACCAATATGCACCCTTTGGGTGCAAAAGTGTACCTTTTGAAAAGGTACAGCCCCAGTGACAGCTTTTGTACCTTTTTTTCTGAGAGTGTACCTATATTATTTTTAAAGGGATAGTTTGCTTTGAAATTAATTTTTGGTATGTTTTATCTTACCTCAAGGGCATCCAAGATGTAGGTGTCTTTGTTTCCACAGTAGTTTGAATTTTGGTATTTTTAGGTCAAACCGTTCTTGTCTGTCAGTCATATAATGGAGGTCTATGGTCACCACCTCAAAGAGCATGCACAGAGAAGTCCAAATTAAACATGATTTAATGACTCTTAAGTGTAAGTACACATTGATGGCCTAAGACACGAAACGAGCGGTTTGTGTGAGAAAACGAACAGTATCGTGTTGCCTCAGTGATGTCATGAGCTCCAGCCAATCAGAGCAAGGGATGGGTTGAGGTCACCGGGTAAATCTTACTCGCGTTTTTTCTCAGAGCAAATCATCACGCGAACAGTTTGCAGCACTAGTTTCTGTCCGTGTTGCGTTCTTCTCTTCTGCTGTTTCGCATCATTTCCAGTTCGTTTTATCGCGTGATTTTACGTGACAAATCGTTGTTTGTATACAAGATAGAATCGTTGGGTGACAGAGTTGTTGTCAACTCGTGAAGTGCGTTACCTCCTGTTGTGGATCAATCACGTTGTGTTGTGTGGTGTGAACAGCTCAACAACTTGAACACTCCTGATTTCACACAGAGCAAGTCATGTAGTGTGAACCGCACAGTTTCAAAATCATGTAGTGTGAACAAGGCTTTAGCGTCCATCTAGCAACATTAAAACTGAAAAAAGTTAAGTTGTATTTGGTTTTTAGTGTTTCATGATGAGCATTGAAAGTTCTCTCAGTGTTGGATTGAAAGTGCATTTACTGGAAGCTCTGTCTCAGTTTGTAATTAGTGGTTTTCAACAAAGCTTGATTTAAACACGAGTTTGATGCTCAGGGAGTTTGTAAACGGTTTCTAAACTGCAGTCGGTTTCACTATATAAGGCATCATACTGAAATAAAAACAGTGCGTCTCTATGAGCTCAACATCAACTGTCTAGCACATTAAATTGTTTTAATACATCCCGCTCAACAAAATATTTAGGGTCTCCGTGGCAACTGGATCAAAAAACATGACGTAGCACAGACGTTAGGCTTGAGCCGTGTTTTAGATTAGACCGGTGAACTTTTCTTTTCCACTGTAAAAGCACCTTTCCATGAGTCCATGTTTCCTGTTCA